GTGTGTCCATCACTGTTGTACAGACACAGTAAGTGTGTCCATCACTGTTGTACAGACACAGTGTGTCCATCACTGTTGTACAGACACAGTAAGTGTGTCCATCACTGTTGTACAGACACAGTGTGTCTATCACTGTTGTACAGACACAGTAAGTGTGTCCATGACTGTTGTACAGACACAGTAAGTGTGTCCATGACTGTTGTACAGACACAGTGTGTCCATCACTGTTGTACAGACACAGTAAGTGTGTCCATGACTATTGTACAGACACAGTGTGTCCATCACTGTTGCACAGACACAGTAAGTGTGTCCATCACTGTTGTACAGACACAGTAAGTGTGTCCATCACTGTTGTACAGACACAGTGCATGTCACTGTTGTACAGTCATGGTAAGTATGTCTGGCACTGTGTCCACAGACACAGTCAGTATGTATTCGCAAGTTGACCTGCATACATTAAAAGTAAAATCATTTTAAAATTAACCTTCATTCTCGTATTCTCTTAATGAGGTTATTTATAACCTCACGAAGAGAATCTCTCTCTCCTGGTTGTAACATCTCTCACATCTCTCAGTAACATCTATAACAACACATCTCTCCTGGTTCTTCTTACTACAATCTATGATTTATTCTTCACCTCCCTTCCCTCTCTGTCTCTCTCTCTCCCTCTCCCTCTCCCTCTCCCTCTCCCTCTCCCTCTCCCTCTCCCTCTCCCTCTCTTTCTCTCTCTCCTCTCCCAGCCAGGAGAGCAGCCTCCCCAGCTTAGCTACCATCAGGAAAATGAATTCCTGAAACAGTTTCCGAAAAAAATGATAACGGAGAGGAAAACCTCGCACGAAACCCCAGACGGAGTAAGAAAAGTCAGTGGGAACAGCAGTCAGCAGAGACTCGTCTAGGAGTCAGCAGGAATTCACCTAGAGTTCAGCAGGAATTCATTTAGGATTCAACAGAAATTCACCCAGAATTCACCTAGGACTCAGCAGAAATTCACACAGGATTCAGCAGGGATTCATCTAGGAGGCAGCGGGGATTCATCTAGGAGGTAGCAGGGATTTATCTATGAAAATAGCAGAGATTCATTTAGAAGGCAGCAGGGGATTCATTTAGGAGGCAGTGAATGTTGAAGACAGCAGCAAAGCCTCTAGGAAACAGGATTTGATCCTTATAATTGCAATTTTTCTTTCGTATTCATTTGATTTCGGGTTTAAGGCCTATGTCAACCTTGTGAAGGTTAAAATAAGGGCGCCACAATACCTCAATGATCAACCACCAGGAATACTGCTGACGCGATCATAGTAGAACTCTAAAGTTAACTCTTGGTTTACGTTCACCAAGATGAGGAATATTCCTGTCGGTGCTTTTATATTTCAGAACTGAGAGTTTGTGATTTTTGCTTCGAAATCTACAATTAAAAAATAACGACATGTAGTACTCTGCTCTTTTTTCTATCTATCTCTTTTTTAATTCTCATTTTTTCTTGGAAAGAGCGGCGGAGAAGCTTGAATTAAAATTTAGTTTTATTTTTTTAAATCCATACACATACCGAATTTCCGAATTGATTTTTAATATCATCAAAATTGGTTTACCTCTGGAAACTCCGCATGTTCTCAGTTATGTACCAATTATGATAAAATTGAATTCCACAACTAATTTGGTCCTTCTTAATGGAAGGTCCGTTAATTTGTTGTCTTCTTCTGTTTTCTTCTGTGCCTTTTACTCTCCGACTCGACGTTGGTGTGCACAGATAGCTCAACACCACAATACTGGAGTTGGTTTGTAAAGGATGAGGTCTGTTCTTTGATCAGCAAGGGTAAACATCGCTAAGCTTAGCTTGTAACTGGATGGGTGACCTTAGGAACACAGGTGGGTGAACTTACAAACACAGGTGGGGCGAACTTGTGAACACAGGTGGGTGAACTTGTGAACACAGGTGGGTGAACTAGTGAACACAGGTGGGTGAACTAGTGAACAAAGGTGGGTGAACTAGTGAACTCAGCCTTAATCCTCTTAGTCTTCTGGGATCTTTGCAATCTAGGAGATTTCTGGGCAACGGTGTATATCAGTATCCCGAGGTGCCCAAACGTGCTAAAAATTATGTTTTCGGTAGGAGTCTTTCCCTCTCCCAATCTGTTAGTCTCTCTCTCTCTCTCTCTCTCTCTCTCTCTCTCTCTCTCTCTCTCTCTCTCTCTCTCTCTCTCTCTCTCTCTCTCTCTCTCTCTCTCTCTCTCTTTCTCTCTCTCGTAAATGTTTATCATAATTGCTTTCACTAATTATCTTATTACTGTTATTAATTAGTTGCAGGTATGATTATGTAACTAAAATTGCAATACACATATTAAATGAGTATGTATTTACTTATAAATGTACCGAATGCCAGGCTCCCTCCATTACTGCCCGAGTTCCCACGATTCCATGACTCTACAGTTCTTCAAAAGCCATCAACGGGCTTTATTTTTAACTCACAACGACAATTGTTTCTTCTTTTTGCAGGAGATTTCGTCTAGTGGTAAAGTAAGGTAATTATCTGGAGAAAGCTCTAAGATATTATCCCATATAGCACCTAGAAAGGATATGAGGATAGGGATTTGAGATAGGATGTAGGAAGGAATGGTGCCCAACCACTTGGTCAGTCGGGGACTGAGCGCTGACCTGCAAGAAGCAAAACCTTGGCTCTACCGTTAAGCTCAAGAGGTTGGACACCATTCCATTTCCCATTCTGAATAGTACATCGCTTTTTGACGTATAATTTCCCTACGGCCAAAAAATATTGTGCTACAAATGGTAGCGAAATTGACGTGATGTCCCGTTATCTGTACGTGGATCCTGGGGTCGGTTAGGCTCTGGCAGTTTAGTACAACAGTTTAGTGACGTTGGGAATGCTCGGGAAAATGGGCTCATAACTCCGTGTGTGTTGTGTATACAGTTCTTGGCATTTGATTATGTCATTACAGATACGAGATGTTAGTTTTTCCCCTAAACTCTGGTGACATTTTCAAGTTGTATGAAAAAAGGTCACTCAGTCGTGAAGATGACTATCTTCAACATGATAGTCAGTCTAACATGTGTGAGAAAGCTGTATGAACGCGCAAGCCATATATCACTAAGAACTCTTTGACCCGGCCAGGATTCGAACCCATGCCGTCCAGGATCACCCCTAAACGTACACAGTACCGTGACCACCGCACCAATGATCGTTTATATAAAGATTGGTCAGTCTTGGCGCTTATTAACTAAGCTCCCTGACTAACCAATCCCCGACGACACTCATGGATCCATTTGGGTACTTCTCCATTTGGGTACAATGTCGTCGGGGATTGGTCAGTCAGGGAGCTTAGTTAATAAGCGCCAAGACTGACCAATCCTTATATAGACGATTATTGGTGCGGTGGTCACGGTACTGTGTACGTTTAGGGGTGATCCTGGACGGCATGGGTTCGAATCCTGGCCGGGTCAAAGAGTTCTTAGTGATATATGGCTTGCGCGTTCATACAGCTTTCTCACACATGTTAGACTCAGTGCGGCCCGTGCATGCGCCAGAATTTGATGAAAAACTGTACCCAAATGGATCCATGAGTGTCGTCGGGGATTGGTCAGTCAGGGAGCTTAGTTAATAAGCGCCAAGACTGACCAATCCTTATATATATATATATATATATATATATATATATATATATATATATATATATATATATATATATATATATATATATATATATATATATATATTCTTCTCTTTGCAATAGATTAAGGAAATTATCAGGAGAAAGCTCTAACATATTATCACATATAGCACCAAGATACGACCACTTCAGACACAGACACATGTTTTTATAAAACTAGAATATACAAACAAACAACATTCACAAACCACTTGCATGTTTGCTTTGTTTTCCTATGTTTTACAGTGAATGGTTCAAATAAATCACTGCCACCCACACCAGACATTTGCATTGTTTGTAAAAAAAGACAATGTAAATAAAATACAATCGTTTCCTGTGGGAAACATAATTTGTGATGGCACTTTCTGTGTGTTGAATGGCAGGGGGAGGCCGGCCCTGCCATTCACACAAATTTTGTCACGATGCAGTTATAGAATTGGAATCATCTCTTTTTTTCGATTTATTACTTGATAACTTTATCTCTCTCTCTCTCGCATCATCTACAACATCAACAACGCATCTCTTGTAACGCCGGCACCGCAGGAGAGCTTCTCTGTGATGCTAATTGTAATCTGTGGCAGCGCTGTGTCACTGGAGCCTCGCGCGTGCTAGCTACACCACAACGATAATTATACTAAGTGGTGCTTGCTCGTCAGGTGTCCGGAGTCCATCAACCCTTGTCAAGAGGACTCTTGCAATGCAGTTTTACTCAGTAACGTTTATGTGGGTTAGAAGTGTGTATGTGTGTGTAGTTTCGATAATTGCAATGTTTACTATATAGGAAAGTGGACTATAAGAGCCAAATAACACTCACATAACGTTTAATATAAGAATTTTGACTATAAGAAGGGTAATAATGCTCACATAAACATTTAATATAGGTAAGTAGACTATAAGAACGTATTAATGCTCACATCATCCTTTACTGTTTCTACACGATAAATATCGAGTCCTGAACTGGACATGTGCAGTACTGCTTCGCTACTCACATACAGAGTAATGTACCTTCTTATGGCATTATAACGGCCTGCATTTTATGCTCAAAACTCCCTGGCTTTAGATACTGTAATTAATGTTGAAAAGTGACATTCTGATGCAACAGAGGCCGGAAGTGGCCTACTTGGCACGGCAAGTTAATTTGAAATTTTACTTTATCGTTCACAAAGATTTTCTCACCGATATGACCACTTGGCAACGATACCTTGCTTTACCCCCTTCGTCATGACGCTCTGTGTCGTAACTCTCCGATCTGACACTTCGCAACGAACCTCGCGGCGCGACTCTTGAGTATGACCTTCGAGTATATGATCCCTCGACACCGACCCCAGAAGCATGACCTACCAGATAGTAGACGGCGAAGGGCATGACGATGGAGGCGAGGAGCAGATCGGCGACTGCCAGCGACACGATGAAGTAGTTGGTGACCGTCTGGAGTGACCGTTCCTTGTACACGGACATGAGCACCAGGATGTTGCCGAAGACGGTAAAGACGGGAAAGAGGAGCAACAGGAGCGTCCAGTAGTTCCTCTGCGTATGGATGGGGTCCTCGACGGTACAGTTCATGGTACAGTTGTCGGCGACGGGCTCGGGCAAGTCGGTGGTGCAGTTGTCGAACTCGAGACACATGTTGAACACTTCGGTTATGACGGAGGTGACGGCGTTCTTGGAGGCCACTGTGGCCAGTTCTTCCTTGCCGTTCACAACGCCTCCGCGGTACTGCACTTCGCCCGACTCCTCTTCCTCCTCGAACTTCGAGTCGGGGACCTGCAGCACCGGCAGCGTCTGCGCCAGGGCCTTAAGCCCCGTGGGCACTCCTGAGGCCACCAGCCCCGCTGGAGGGGAAGGCGGGGAGGGAGGTGGGTGTAATGTGGGTGACATGGTCCGTCACCCACACCACCGAGGCTCCACAACGTGCCCGCCGAGGACTGCCAACCTGTGGGAGAGGCCGACGACGGTAAGCGGTATAGGACGCGGAGGCAATGGTAGGCAAGCGGCGGCGGCGCGCCTTGGCGTTCTGACCACACGACACTAGAGGCGCGGGAACACTGCCGAGCTGGCGTGGGTGTGCTAGCGGCGCAACGCTCACAACCTGACTGGCACTCGGCTGCTTCGTCTACCAGCTGCTGGCACTGGCACCCGCCCCTCACCTGCGCACACTCCCCCACCTGTCCTCCTCATTAACCCGGCCTCGTTAACACTCACTCATTATCCTGCAGTGATTAACCTGCTCCTCTAACTCATTATCCCATATGTGTGCCCCCTCACATATCATCCCTCGGAGGTGCCCTCAATCACCACCCCTCGGCCATAGCTCTCTCTCCCTCGTCGTCTCTACGCTCACCGCACGCTAATCACCAGCAAGCCTCACCACAACTAAGTAGTCCTTGTGGTAGTCATTAGCCACGACTAATGAACCACCAGCTTGTTTCAACATACATGAAACATATTGAATAATTTCAACATTCTCTCAATTCCAATGTTAACACCGCTTTTGGTTGACTTAATTATAACATTTCTCTCATTATCAAAGTTATTATGTGTCAGTGAACCCTTTTATTGTGACAAGTTATCCCCATTTGACTTTTCATAGACTGAAGTTATTTTGTTTTAATACGAAAGCTTGAGCCTCCTACAGTCTGGCATTGCAAAGCTTTCATAATTTTTCGATTAGCTAATACGTTATGCGGTGCTAACGAAAAAGATATCTTTTTCAAAGCAGCCTTGAATAGATTTCCTTTTATCCAAGGCATCAGTGATTGTAGAATTTCCTTGCGGAGGATTTGCCGGAACCCAATTTTATATTTGATTTTCTTAATTGATAATGTTGATCATCAGAAGAAATGGCTGAGCCAGACTGACTATGCAGCATTAAGAAGATATTTGAGACCTTAGTGAAGGAACAATGCTAAACTACACACAGAAATCACAATAGCGTGATATACCAAATGAACAAATCCACAAGGGCCATCTGGGACCATCCCGGACGTAGATTAGAACCCTCATCACGGCTCTTGTGGATTTGTTCCATTCTAAACTGATTGGATCATGGGACGATCGAACGTCTATTCTATAACAAATAAGACCATCGTTGTATCTGTCAGTCCAAGCATACAGGAGCAGCAATATATATTTGTTTAACAGTAGGCGACATCTGGCTTTTGTTGGCAGGCTTAGAAAATTTCCTTATTGCTCATCTTAAGTGTTACCATCTAAGTTTTCCCCTGGAGTACGATCTGTTAATCTGATTACAACCAGGTCAACAATTACTGCTGGGTGAGCATGGCTGAAAGGTAAAGCGACTGATAGCCAATAATCCCATCCCCGAACAGGATTCGAACCCAAACGAAATCGAGTGTATTACCACTGCGACACCTGTATGATTTCCTAACTACAATGTATAGTTTGACTCTCTCAACAAGTACACAGTTCCGAAGGCGTATTTAGTTCCTATTTTGTATCCAGAGATTCACAGGGAATTTAACCGTTTTGAAGTTTGACATCTTTAGAAAAACTACTAATTTATGTTATTTGAATAAAAAATCTTGAAGAATTCTAGGAAGATGCAGTCAACCTATAGCTCTCTAGTTGAATTTTTATTTATGCTATTTCAGCATAACACTAAATTGATTGTACATGAATTTTGTTCTCCGAAATGCGTTTCTTATCTACGAGTTCCCGCCTCTCCAGATGCCCTATAATTCTTTGGGTGATTATTCTGACCAATTACTTGGGAAAGAAAGCTGTTACGGACTGCAGTTTTATGCCACTTGTCTGTCTTCATAATTATACATCTATATCACGATACACTCTCTCTCTCTCTAAGCTCCCGGTAACAGTATAATATGCCCACGGATATTTACACATGCGCGCTCTCTCCTTCAGTATCCACAACAAAATTTGGTTTGTGTTCACTGCCTTCGATGTGTCTATTTGTTCCGGGTGTGTCTATGTCTCATATCTTGCTGCTACTATGTACTTGTCTCTCTCTCCCCTTATCTGACTTTCTTTTCTTATGTCTGGCATGATTTTTCACTCCCGTCTCTCAACCATTTGAAATCGTTAAGGAACCTCACAAAATTTCCTTGTCGTTTTCAGTCAATTGTAGGCCTACTTTTCTTCAAACTGACAATCAGAGCGTCGCCAGTGAGCATCTTTCTGGTGTAACTGTGACAGTCTCGACTGGCTTATGACTTTCCCTCTAAAATAATTGTCAAACTACTTCTCTCTCACATGCATATTTCCCGGTGTCTTCGTTTCTAAGCTCTCCAGCTCAGCGACCTGTATCTTCCACGCCTTCAACCTGCAGTCAACTTCCCGACACGTCGTGTTGAATCATGTATTGATCTTAATCCTCATAGACCTTCCTTTCTGTCTTGTTTCGTACGTACTAACTGCCTCCACACTACTCTTAATGATGTATTCCATCATGATCTGTAACGATTATCATCGCAAGTTAGCACCCTCTCCCCCTCCGCCTGTCTAAGATAATTCGCGATACCTGTTTAATACCCCCTTCCGGAATTCCAGTCTACTTCTTGTGCCTACAAGTTGATCGTAAGAAGATTAATATAAGAATTATGGACAATTAAGAAGGCGTATTGACCCATACGAGGTGTTTTCCTTATTTTCACCCAAACTCATTCATAAATATGCCTAGCCATAGCTAAAACAAAAGAGCTACAATCATAGAGAGACACACCGAAGAAGCATCAAACAAGAGGAGACACACGTAAGAAGTCCCGACCAAGAGGAGACACACGTAAGAAGTCCCGACCAAGAGGAGACACACGTAAGAGGTCCCGAACAAGAGGAGACACACGTAAGAGGCACCGAACAAGAGGAGACACACGTAAGAGGCACCGAACAAGAGGAGACACACGTAAGAGGCACCGAACAAGAGGAGACACACGTAAGAGGCACCGAACAAGAGGAGACACACGTAAGAGGCATCGAACAAGAGGAGACACACGTAAGAAGTCCCGACCAAGAGGAGACACACGTAAGAGGCACCGAACAAGAGGAGACACACGTAAGAGGCACCGAACAAGAGGAGACACACGTAAGAGGCACCGAACAAGAGGAGACACACCTAAGAGGCACCGAACAAGAGGAGACACACCTAAGAGGCACCGAACAAGAAGAGACACACGTACGAGGCACCAAACAAGAGGAGAAACACGTAAGAAGCACCAAACAAGAAGTGCCACAAGTAACTACCAGACACACGTTCCCTTTGCACAAGAAGACTAATTTCTTCGTTCAAATTAGCCTATATTTCCAAAAATATATTAAACTTATTTTGACCTCAAACCATCCGAAAGCTTCAAGATTGCAGGCATCTTGTTAATAAATGTCTTAAGGCACAAAATAGTGCTCAAAATATTTCAATCACTATCAATGTACTTGGGAAGGTCAGAACCGCATTTGTATAAAGCTATATTAATTATGATAATTCCAATGCTAATTATAGGAGATATGTTAAAATAATAATATTGTGATAATGTTATTAGCTAAACGAAATTGAATTTATTATACATACCGGCATTAATAATTCTTGAAGCATGTGACTTAAAAATGCATATTGAAATTCAGTAATATCAACATAACATAAATATATTCAGGGGTTGCGGGGAGCGGTGTGGTATTAGAGAGCCGATTTAATGATTATTAGCATACAGATAACTTTGGCGTAACCCGAATGGCAGAAGATAGAATTATATATATATATATATATATATATATATATATATATATATATATATATATATATATATATATATATATATATATATATATATATATATATATATATATATATATATATATATATATATATATATATATATACGTGTGTGTATATCACGAAAATAAACACGTGATTAAGAATGTGACAATGTCAGACCACGGAGGAAAATGAAACAGGAATTTCCTTAAGTACTTTCGTATATTAAATACATCTTCAGAAGGAATATTCCTTCTGAAGATGTATTTAATATACGAAAGTACTTAAGGAAATTCCTGTTTCATTTTCCTCCGTGGTCTAACATTGTCATATATATATACGTATAATTTTAATTTGATTATTAAATTCGCTTCTCCATTAACATTTCGTTTACACCCTGTAGCACCTCGCCATGACCGGTTAATTGTGCATGATATGTGCATGTATTGCATACGGAATTGACCCTCATTCAACCTGATTTATCCCGAGCAATCTTTGTTATCATAATCTCTCCCTCATACGCTCACTTTCTATCTTCTATTGATATATTCTATCTCTGCTATATAGTCTTAGCGCTCTCCCCTGATAGTTTCCTTCTTTCACAACCCATTAGATAAATATTGAATTGATGCAATGAGTCATTTCTATTTTTCCTGCCACAGCATCTCTCAAATGATCTGGGTCAAGATTCATCAAAAATTTAAGTGTCCACTTTCGAAACATGTACATCTTTTTTCCCATTAATGGCGGCTTAGTTGTATTTATTAACCCGTTTACCAGATTCAAAACTTCGCATCCCAAGCTTGTTATTATCATCACTGGGCAACCTCGTAGCGCTTCGGAGCTTATAAACTGCTTCATTAATGCAAATTCAGTGGCCATGATTGAGGAAAGATGTACGGGTTTCGGAGAGGTAAAGGCTTGATGATTCTGGGGTCTGGTTGCCTCTGGTGTGGTTAAATATTGCCGTCACCTCTTGACTCATCGCGACACCCAGCAGTAAATGTGCACCTTTAACCTCTCACCTTCAAGCATGGCAATGTTGGGATTTTTTATTATTTCATATTACTTCGACTATTATTTACTCATCACCCAATAACTCATCGCCCATTAACTCATCACTCAATAACTCATCATCCATCAATTCATCACCCATTAACTCATCACCCAATAACTCATCACCCAATAACTCATCACCCACTAACTCATCACAATTAACTCATCACCCAATAACTCATCCCCCTTTAACTCATAACCCAATAACTCATCACCTATTAACTCATCACCAAAATAACTCATCACCCATTAACAAATCATCCCTCAAAATTATATCCAATAGCTCCTTTCTTCTCAGTCACTCATCCATTTAATTAACGGCTAAATACTTCCTGCATCTCGACTCTTAAATTCCGTCCCTCAT